AACAAGATATATGGAAGAATACTGGTGACAATCTCCCAAGACAACAACAAATACTATAGTAATAATATATATAGAGAGAAACTTGCTTAAAAACCATGCAACTCTAGATATTTCTAGGGTGATAAATTAACACAGATACTGAGAAAAGATATATCATAAAGCTGAATATCATTGTAAAACTAGGGGATGTTTTCACAGTGCACCTTTCATCGAATGATCTTACAACTTCAGAAAGCACTGCATAGGGAATGGGAAATATTCCCCAAATCCAATAAAACACAGTTGTGCCATTGAAAACAATTGCCAAGAAATGGGACATTCTGGAACTGAACTTTGCATCCAACAACTATTATTATATCACTATTTAGAAGTGGAAAACTCAATTATACCACTGAATGGCCAGCCTGTCTGTGAATTACCAAAAGGCTTTGAAAGAATAGACAAAAACTTTCCCCTCCAATCCACTCTCACTTGGATGTGGCACTTTCTTTGCTTGGCACTCAGATATGTGGCCTTCAGACACAAATTGTTCTGTCCAGAAATGCCTGCGCCTTTTGGCGAGACACAGTATTACAACTTTTACTTAAGGCTTAACACAACAGTGATTGCTACATAGTGATAAGAATTCCCAGAAGTAGGTCTCAGAGAGACTGTATTTTTGGTACTGTTGGCTTACATTGCATATGCTTGTTTTTCAAAAACCAACCCACAATCACCTGTAAATAGAAAGTGGGACCATGTATCAGTGAAACCAGCCCCACCTTCTGGGCGATACTAATTAGTGTATAATCTAAAAATATAAATAAATAAATAAAGAAGGAGCCTTGCACTTGAGCAGATTAAGTGTTAGGAAATGTAGGATTTGGGGAAGTATGGAGACCAGTCAAGTATTTCTGTTCCCTAGTCAGGTTTTGAAAAGAGTTGATGAAGGTAAGTTTTAGCTCTCTTCTGGAATTAAGAAATTGAAAACCAAGGTCCCATCTGGGTGTATTGCCTCCTAGGTCAATTTCTTCTGTGTCAGGTATAACATAGAGTCCCAAACCTCCCAGGTAGGTGGAAATCAGAAGGCATCCACCACCCCCAGCCTACATCCTCCTGTGTCAGTCTGTCCCTTGGGCAGGACAAGTGGGTCAGTGACTCTGGACCCCCATTTAAAGGATGGGTAGGAGCCTCCCCGGTGGTGCAGCAGGTTCAGCACAGCTCTGTGAAGCTGTCCGCAGACTCTGCAGCACCGGTTCAATTGCCATCTAGCCAGGGAGATTCCCACATGGAGCGGCAGACCTCTCCTGGTCCACCCACTGCTCCCCTCAGCAGTGTTCTTCAGTCCTTCTGCCTATTCTGCTCCCCACTCTGTCTCTGATGAATTCTCTTACCCTCTGCGCCTCTGGCCTGTACCCCAGTGCTTGTATAAATAAATATATCTTTAAAATAAAATAAAATAAAATAAAGGATGAGTGGGCAGGAAGCCTTGGGATACTGTGCCATATCCTCTTTTCTGAATACCATTAACACCCATTTCAAATTTTAGGTCCCAAGTGGACTTTGAAAAATGGGTGACAGAGTAGATACCTTCAAGTGGACCCCACAGAGGTTTCATTACTGTGGGTACCCTGCTTTCGTCTGCCCTGCAGCAGGGGCTTCCTCCACAGCCCTGGAAACTGGCACACCTGGGCATCTGGCTTTGGGAAACCCCGCGGTACCAGATGGAATCTGTCCACCTCTAGGAATGAATTTTGTGGGTCCTCGAGCTGGAGGAAAACTCCAGAAAGACACAGAATATAGGTAAATATGTTGTTTTTCACTTGAAGCTATTTTAATTGTCCTCAGAGACTTTATCTCTGAACATAGTTCTAAACCTAACATCAAACGAATTAATGCCTCAAGCTATCTTTGGGGTTACTGCTGCTTAGCTGCGTTTTGTTGAGGGAGTCACTCTGTTCTTCAATAGAATTCATTGGTGCCAACAATCAGTGAGCAGCTGGATATAAAATCCAGGGATGAGGATGTTGAAGGAAAGTGTATTCTATGACTTCCCCCTCCTACCCTAGCTCTCGGCTCTTTGAAGTTATGTTTCTGTAATGCATGATGCTGCCTTTGATTTTTCTTTTGGAAACTATGCAAAATAAAATTTTGAGGGTCAATGTAACTTCTTGGGAAGGACAAGAAAAAGAGAAAGAATCCCTGTGGTGCCAGAAAGGCTTGGGGGCACATAAACCTCCAGGTCAGTGCTGCCTGGGAGCTAAAAGAAACCATAATAAGACTTAGTCTCTTTTCATCTTCAAAGTCCTTCATAAGCTCTAAATCATTCGTCCTCACCACGCTACTGTAATCATGCGATTTGGCAGAAGAAATAGACCTTTCATCTCTGGATCTCAAAGCACTCTATAAATACCAATTAATCCTTGAAACTGGCCTCTGAGGCGATGCAGTATCAGCTAACCTACTCAGTACAGAGAGGTTAAGTTACTTGGTCCAACCCATTCAGCAAATAAACAGAAGTAGGTTGAGAACCTGGTCTGCAGGCTCTATTCCTGAGCTTGGATGTCTGAGCTCAAACACCGGTCTTGTATTTAAAGCCTCCACATGGTGATTAGCGCACAGTAGGTGTTTAGGTAATTATCCATGGATGAAGGAATAAGGTGAATAACCGTATTTCCTATTGTCTGCCAAACAAGTTCTGCTATGTCTCAACTCAGGTTCAAATTTCTTTTTGCAAAGTGGTTTCAACTTTTGGGTTTCCATTTATTTCTTCTCCAACTAGCACCCACTATGGCATCCCTCTTTTGAGCTCTGGAGAGAGAGAGTGGTGAATATGACAGACAGCAATCTTCTCTCACGAATTTACGTCTTTTTTTAAAAAAAGATTGATTTATTTATTCATTCATTCATTCATTCATTCATTCATTTATTTATACAAGCACTCAGTACAGTCAGAAGTGCGGGAGGGGGAGAGAATCCACCAGAGCCAGAGCGGGGAGCAGAGCAGGCAGAAGGACCGAAGTACACTGCTGAGGGGAGCAGCAGGTGGCAGGAGGGGTCTGCGCGCCATGTGGGACCCTCCTCCGGTGGCCGGGGAGCAGCCAGGGATCGAACTGGCGCTGCAGAGGCCACGGGCAGCTTCACAACCCAGCGCTCAACCGCTGCGCCATCGGGGAGGCCCCACGAATTTACGTCTTGAGGCAGATAATAATTAAAATGAAAAATGATGTAAATATATAAAAATTTAAAAATAACAAAAAATAATAACAAAAAAAGTACTAAGTCCTTGCAAAGGGGACAGAGCATTTACAGACAAAATCCTTTTCCCCTGGGGAAAAAAAAGACAAATAATGTCAGATGGTAAGAAAGTGATGTAACAGAAGCCCAGTCATTTGCCTTCGGGAGTGATCAGGAAGAGGCAAGCTGATTTAAGGGATTCAGATGCAGAGTGGAGGACAGCGGCTTTTATGCCTGGGGCAGGAGAGAAGGCCAGTTCCTGGAGGCAGGCTGCACCCCAGTGTTGTCCCAGGGTACAATGGTAGAAAGACCCATGTGTCCCGACAAAGAACCCGCATCTCATTTATTCAGGTAGTTACTTATTCTTCCATTTTGTACATACTGAATCTCTATTACATGTCATGTTCCAGGATCATCTCCGCCTGGGTGGCCCCAGCAGAAGCTAAGCCAACTTCTAGTTCTACCCATACTTCTACTCTTTAAAATATACATATATATATATATATAATGTGTGTGTGTATATATATATACACACACATATATATATATACACACATATATATAATATTCATGATGATGATGATGATGATGAAATGATTTTAGCCCAGCAAATGAAAAAAGGCAAATACTGATAAGTGATGGTTAGTTTTCAAAATGCACTGCTCCACATGATTGCAGCTTTTTCTTAAGTAATAAACATTGTTTTTTTAGAGCAGTTTTAGATTTACAAAAACTTTGATCAAAAAGTACAAGGAGTTCCCAAGTTCCCCCACCCCATCCCTCTATTCTTTGTCACTTCTGCTGGTAAGACCACTTAACATCACACTTTTCAGATCCTTTTAACTACACAAAAGCACTTAGCTGTTAGAAGAACTGAGGTTACAAAAAAATTCTAGCTTCTGATTTTGTCTGCCTCGGAATTTAGAACCTCAAAACAGAACTGCATGAAAACAGAACTGCATGAAAACAGAACTCCAGTCAGGCTTCCCAGACCTGAGGCGGCATTGTTATAGAGCAGACTTCAACATCCTCTTCACTCCATCACAAACAATTTCTTTCCTATCCTGAGTCTGGGACTAAAGAGGAGGAGGGGAAGACAAGCCGTCAGAGTTGGCCCACCTGGCAATAGTTCCAGCAATACTAGAGGTCTGCAGTGCCTGTGAATGTATTTCCACTTTTTTCAAGGCATGTGAGATCACCATAAACCCGTGAGCCTTGGTTGGAGGAGCCAGCTTTATACAGAAGAATTTGTAGTCATGTGTTAACTCTGCCTTCTTATAACTTCTCCAGGTTTTTGTAGTTCCTCCTCTAAACACACCTAAGTGACTTAAATTCCGTCAAACTCATCATGCAGTGTAACTATAATTAGCCAAAGACAGCACAGATTTTTCTTACCACCGTACAAGGGTTTTCTCCTCCTTTAATTTCTATGTATCAAGGACATACCAATATAGAGTAAGCCCAAATATGAACAGAAGAGAAACGGTGAATTTAAAGACTGACATGATTCTCAAATATTTGTTTCCTGTGAGAGTTTACAGAAGAGATTCTCCTGAACCTACCTTTCTGAGAATGTGGTGGGACTCCAAGACCTTTAAGATGATCAGAAAGAATGTAGGCACCTCAGAACTCCATTCATAGTTCAACTGAAAACACTGAAGAATCCTTTAGAGAACACTTAATCCAGCCCCCAGAAGAATTTGCCAATGAAGAATTGAGGTCCCAAAAGTGAAGGGGCCAGACCTTCGTCACATAATCAGAATGAGCTAGAACCTGAATGGCTCACTCTCCCAAGGAGACAAGTTACTGTCATTATACACAGATATTGGCCCCTGTGGGTTGGTAGATTTAAAAGCTACTATCTTCAGAGTTTCTCACTTTAATCAGCTACAGACTGAAAATGAAAAGGGATCCTCTGGTAAGTCTGATATGTTCATATCTTAAGTCCCCGAACTAAGTTGGAAAGAAGTTAGCACAACACATTCTAGGAAGCTGAAAGTGGGTGTTTCTCTCCATACTTCACACACTGCCAGCAAAATCCTCAGTTGCATACATGTGTCTGATATAAAAGAGAGTTATCTAAAATAGACAGGTCAAAGAGATGGAATATACCATATCAGGACTATAATATTGTAATGCATTGCAAATTTGAGAGTTGCTAACATGGTAGATAGACTTATTGTGATGATCATTTTACAGTGTACACAAATGTCAAATCATCGTGTCGTACACCTGAAACTAAAATAAGGTAGCATATCGACTATACTTCAATAAAACTGGAGGCTGTTATCAAAATAAATGGTTACCCCAATAGATAGAGGATGTAGAGATCATCAGAGCAGCCAGTTGAGTCAGCAAGTCCCCAGTGACAGAGCAACCAAAGCCTTCTCTGCTCTTGGGGATCAAGACCAGGCTTCATCTGCTCAATCTACTGCTGAAGTGAAATGACGATGACAGCTATGACCTGTTAGGTGCCAGGTCCGGGGCTAAGTGATTTTCTTACATTCTCCTAATAATCTCTACTTTTCAGATTATTCTTTAACTTCTCACACATACACACTAGTGTAGTCCAGGTAGCTGAGTTGGCCTTTGAACCCATGTCACCCCGACCCACAGTTCACACTGAATTTGTCTCCTGCTGCCTTCTATTTCCAGAACTTTCTCCCTCTTCCAGGGAGTGACTATCCCACTTATGCCCTCTCATCTTCCCCACCCCTATCTGCCATGGTGTTTATCATAGCCTAGTCTTTCTCAAGCTTGGACAACATACAGAAAAAGGGGTTTAGGGGTAGAATCACACCCTAGTCTAGAAGAAACTTTAAAGTTGTCACTTTCTGTGATCACTAGTCCTGAACCCAGACGCGAATATGGGCATTAAAACTAAATGGCAGTACTTTAGTTAAAAGGGGATCATTGATAGGACACTAAATTAGATTAGATTTGTTTTTTTTCTATACAAACATTCAATGTATTCAATATTAAAATATCAAAATGAAAATGTGTTAACCTAATAACTCATGCATTTCCTGAGAATTCCTGATTGGCAGCTTAAAAAAAAATAATAAATAAAGGGCCGATAATCACAAAAAAAAAAAAAAAAAAGAAATGAAGCTTGTGCTTTGCTTTCTAATACATTGGCCACTAAAACTTTGATGTAGGAATTGCTACCGTGCACAGGGAGGGCAGTAGGTTGTTATAGGCTGATGTCTATTGAGTGCTTACTTTGCACAAAACTGGTTATTGACCATGGCAGTCTCATGCCCCTAAAATACTATAAGCCAGGCACTGTTCTTAACTCTGCTTTAAATGATGAAGTCTTAGGCTTAAAGAGTCACACGGTAAGCAGAGAAGCCCTTGTGTAAGGCCAGAGCCAGAGCTCCTAGCCTAAACACTACAAAACTTGTCTCTCACACATTCCCACCTGAGGAGAGGAGGGACCAGTTGGCCTTCATTCTCCCCACCTGTAGTCGCTCTGGCACTGAGGGCAGACATCCTACAAAAAACCTGCTTCACCATCACAGAACCAAGTGCAATACACAATAACTGCTCACTGGACACTTGTTGGCTAGTCGTGGATGGACAAAATGCTTAAACAATGTGTGTGTGTGTTCATTCATTTCTACCATCCTTATTGTTCTGTTCCCCATTTCATGGATAATTGAGTACTAGCTGGAACAAATCCAAACAAATTAAATCTCTATTATTGACAGCAGAACAAGGAGGCCCAAATCAAGACCATATCCCCTAAATAGGCCCTCACATGCTTTCTCCACCTCCTCTGGGACCTGCTATTTTGTGTGAATTTTTGAAGAGACAAAGCTCTCGCATTTCAGTTCTGAGGGTAAGCTTAGGGAAAAAACCATAAGGCCTAATTGGTGAGTGACATCCTTTCTGGCTGGAGATGAGGAGGCTTTATGTCTGACAGTTCACCCCTCTCCCTTGTCTCCTCTTTCACAATTTCAAACAAGCACCAAAGGACACAGGGATATCTTGCATTGTCTTACTGAACAACAGCTTCAGCATCCCACCTCCATCAATAGACACCATGTGGAAAGACTTGATTGAAAAAGCACATGTTCAGACATGATTAAACTTGCTAACTTAAAGAGGCATTAAAGGCAGGAAATGAAAAAGAGATGAACCGTATTACTTTACCTTCGGGACCCCAGATAGTGTAGTTATACGGTCACCATGAGGTAACGAGGTGGAAGGACTCCAGAGTTCGGCATGATCTAACCTGCTAGCTGATTCTCTTGCTTTCTGGTCTAGAATCCTCTCCTTGGGGGGCTGAGTGCTAAATGCTAATCTAGTGCTAAATGTTTCCAGTCAGAGAAACTTTGAAGAGTGTGTGAATGTGTGTGTGTGTGTGTGTGTGTGTGTGTGAGAGAGAGAGAGAGAGAGAGAGAGAGAGAGAGGAGATTTTACCACACTGCCATGTCTTGTGGTACCAAACTAAATAAGTCCTCATTTTGGCAGTTCATACCTTTCAACTATTTGCTGTCTGTTATCACATTCCCTAAAGTCATTTCTGGGTCCTGGCTCTGTGTTTTTGGTTTCTTTAATCTCTCCTCATAAATCAGTCCCTCCATTCCCTTCATCATTTTTATTGCTTTTCTCTGAACTCTCTCCAATTTGTCTACATATTTTTAGTTCTGGGTGTCTAAATATAATTTGCTGGACTAAAAGCCATGTTTGGAGGGACCTCATCAATTAATCTTCTGCCCTGAATCCTTTCAAAGGGTCTTGAGTATAGTTCTAAATGCCACTGACCTGTTTAGCCCTGGAACGCATAATAAATATTCCCTAGGACATGATAATGTCATGAGATCGCATGTTGTAAAGCTTCCTTAAAGGAGAGACCAGTTTTCTTTGGGGTCCTTCAGGACAGAGTCATTAGGTCAATAAGGAGGGACCCACCTCATGCCTTGGTATATTTTCTGTTTTTTTAAAGATTCATTTTATTTATGTATACAAGAACTAGGGTACAGGCCAGAGGTGTGTGGGGTAAGAGGATTCACCAGAGACAAAGTGGGAAACAGAACAGGCATATCTACTGAAATCCACTGCTGAGGGGAGCAGTGGGCCAGCAGAAGAGGTCTGCTGAGCCATGTGGGTAGCTCCCTGGCCAGGGATTGAACTCATGCTGCAGTAGCTGAAGATAGCTTCACCGTGCTGTGCTTAACCCCTTGCACCACTAGGAGGCCCTGCCTTGGTATATTTTCTAATGAATGGTATTAAAGGAAGATTCCAGGGTTTACGGAGGAAGGCTATTTGCAAGTTGGCCATTTAGAGAAGACATACTTTCTTAAAGAAACTGTTATTTGTGGCTAAGTCCTGACACCAGTACACAAAATATAACTAATCATGTTTTAAAATATTCATAAACCCCAGTGTGTGCAACAGAGGAACCCACACATGCTAGTAAATTGTTGTACAACTGGAACCACCGTTCTGTAGGGTAATCTGATAAATGTGACCAAAATCTTTACAAGGTACACACTGTTCCACCGAAAGATAACCACTGAAATTACTTCTAGCAAGTTATCCTAAGAAAATAATTGAAAATGAGACAAAGATATGTGTACAAGGATATTATTTATACTAATAGGAAAATTTTAGAAATAACTATTTTTAAAAGAGTGACTGGGTAAATATAGGGCACAAAGATGTACATATGGGGATATTTATCTCAGTATTATTTAAAGTAGCAGAAAAAATTGGAAATAACCTAAAATACAGCATGGAATGACTGGTTAAACAAATGGTCCAGTCCCACATTTACATGAACAGAAAAATGTCTATGACACATTGACTCAAAGAGCATTTTACAAAACAGGAGTCACAGTGTGATTCATTTTTATTTAGCAAAATCTCTACTTCAGTGTTCATATATACTTGGCAAAAAGATCTGGAGATAAATCTCTGTGGGATAATAAGGTGTGATTTCACTTTTGATTTTATTGTCTGATTCTATCCCCCCAAGACCAGATACATATAAATCAGAAAAAACGATAAAACTTCTTTTACCTTGGTTTAACCTAGATCATCCCTTAATCAGGGTTTATTGAAATTTCCCACATACTAGGGCACACAGATGGTGAGGGTACCTGTTCACCCGCCAGGAGCGTGTGCAGCTGTGTCAGCACCGTGAGCCGGTACCCATGGCTGCATGGAGAAAGAGACCATGATGGGGCCTGGGAGGATGGGGGGCACTGTAGAGAGGAGCTTATATTTCAGACTTGAAGGATAGTCAGACAAAGTAGGGAGAACTCCAATTTCAGGCAAAAGAATGATTAAAGGTACCCACATCATCTACAGAGAAATGCAAATCAAAACCACAATGAGATATCACCTCACACTTGTGAGAATGGCCCGTATCAAAATGACCAGAAACAAGCGCTTGTGAGGACAGAGAGAGCTCTTTATACTACCAGTGGAAACGTAAATTGGTCTAGCCCCTATAAAAAAAATATGGAGTTTCTTTTAAAAATGAAATTGGATCTACCATATGACCCAGCAATTCCACTCCTAGGTATCTACCAAAAAAACATAATAATAATTTGAAGGGAAATTTTCACTCCGATGTTCACTGTAGCATTATTTACAATAGCCAAATTATGGAAACAACCTAAGTGCCCCAGATCAGACAATAGACCAAGAAAATATGAATACTGCTCAGTGATCAAAAAAAGATAAACTTGTGCCATTTATGGCAACATGGATGGATCTGGAAGGGATGATCCTAAGCTAGAGAAGTCAGAGGAGAAAGACAAATACCATGGTGTCATTTACACGTAGAATATAGAGAAGCCCCACAAAGGGTCAGATAAAGCCAAACTCAAAAACTAGCTTGAAAGCTAACCATAGAGCTGGGAAGTGAGAGGGGAGAGGAAGGGAAAAGTACAAATTGGGGAGGGA